TACTTGTGCGTCGAAGGCTGCAATAGCGGCCATCACATCACCGTCGTGTATACTCTTGTCTACGAATCATCCCACAATCCCGTCTCACATGGCGCATGTAGTGCTGCCCAGTTTGATTCAATACATGCATGCAGCCGGCCGGTGGTCATCAGCCCCCTAGAGAGACCAAGGGCGGGAAGTGCGGCCGATGACGTCTCAGATTTTCCTCTCACATCCTCCCTTATTTTCACAAAAGGTCTCGGCTTAATGACAGCGAATCCACGGAAATAGCACACGGACTGCGTCGGCCGTGCTGCCATCAGGATTCGCGTTTGTATATAAGGGCTCTTACAGCTGTTTCCGAAATTGGTGGCCGCTCATCTCCGACTGACGCGCGCGCACTTTCAACACGAAAAAATCAGAAAATACAAACAAATTGACTGTGCCCTTGCCGCTGCATCCCTTGCTCTGAGACTGGTGATATATACTGCTACAAGCCTTGTAAACACACCTACACCTTCGGATTCTCCATAGATACTCGGGTTTGTAAGTTACAGAAGTCAGATCATCTAGGGATGACAATCCCGGATTTCTGACGAGGATCTGGCCACGAAAACCTCTTCTCTTCGCCCTAGAGCTTCCTAGCATAATTTATACACACTCCCTATTATCTGTGTGCAATGCTATGTAACCTATGGGCAATTCCGGGGTTCTAATGCATTGTTCAAAGTTGCGGACGTTTGGCGCCCGATGACGTGGTTATTGAGGCAGGCCGAAAAGTGGATTTCTGTACCTCGTGAGGCATAGAAATCGGTCAATGTGCTCATTCATGCTTAAAAATGAGTTTTGTCGGCCAATCAAGGTGCCAACGTGAACTGACCTCTCATATGTTTTTCGAATTTTTCGTGTGCAAAGTGTGCTGTGCAGTTGGGCGCTCGGCCACCAAAAATGGAACCAGCTGTAGGCCTTGCCCTCGCGTCTTCCCCCAGCCTTGCCGGCTCCAACGACCCAGGACATTTTGTCATAGTCGAGCCCTCGGTCGCCGTCTGCTCTTTGCATCATGCTGGCGAAGAGCCTTACAGTCTTCCTGTATCTGGGACTCACGTTTGCCACCTCCAGGCCGCGCGCAGGCTTCCGCGTGCTTGAGAAACGTGAGGTCGTCCCTTACGGCTTTTCCAGTGTCGGGCCCGCTCCTCCGGAGAAGACGATCAGCCTGCGCCTCGCTCTCGCGAACAACGAGGACACGTTGATCAACACGTTGTATAGCGTAAGCGACCCCTCCAGCCCAAAGTACGGACAACATCTGACCAAGGAAGAGGTGAGGCTTTTAACTACCAGTTCCCTCAGAATGACGCTAAATTTTAACGTACGTCTGCGCAGGCTGAAAGCTTCGTGAGGCCCAGCTCGAATACAAGAGACATCGTTGATGCCTGGCTCCGTGACAACGATATATCCGCATCTGTTATCTCACCTGCGGGCGACTGGTTAGGTATCGACATTCCTGTCAGCAAAGCGAATGCTCTGTTCAATGCCGACTTTGCCACCTTCAGGCATGAGGGTACTGATAGTGAAGTCATCCGTACCCTGTCATACTCCCTGCCAGAGACGCTCCATGGGCACGTTGACGTGGTACATCCGACCATCTCGTAAGTACCACCGTCCTATTTCCAACCGATTTGCCTAACACTGTGGCAGATTCCCCACATCCGCTGATCTTACACCGGAGACGAAACAGAGGCGCTCTATCCACGAAATCGTGCAACACGATCCTGCCTCGTCCTGCGCCAACGGAACTATCCCGAAGTGTCTGCAGGAGCTGTACAAGATTCCTCTGACACCATCGCAGCACAAGAACAACACCCTTGGTATTACCGGCTTCTTCGGCAATACTGCGCATTATGACTGGCTCGAGACGTTCTTGAAGACATACCGGCCCGACATGAGCTCTAAGGCGAACTTCAGTGTCGTGGGCATCGATGGCGGGTCGAACGAACAAAATGTGCCTTCGGTCTCTGAAGGGGTACGTTGGACCTATCTGCCAATGTAGCGCAAACTGACCTAGGTGGCGATAGGAACTCGACATACAGTACACCGTCGGTCTTGCCACCGGGGTGAACATCACGTATTACTTCGTTGGCGTGAAGACCCAAGACGGTGGTTTGAACGGTTTCCTGGACGAAGCGAATGTACTTCTCTCACTAGAGAAGCCCCCATTAGTGCTCACGACCAGCTATGGGAGGCAGGAGAAGTCTATTTCTCTTGCCTTAACGAAGTCAGTTCATCAGTATTCAAATGTCGGCCATCGCTGATCTACAAGTATGGGAACAGGAAGCTTTGCAATGCATACGCCCAACTCGGCGCACGTGGAACGACGATACTCTTCGCCTCTGGAGATAGCGGTCCTGGTTGTCGAACCAACAGCACCGGTTTCGAGCCCATGTTCCCCTCTAATTGTCCATTGTACGTCCACTGCCCTTCGAAACCCGCACTGCACACGTGTTGATTTTGTCACTTAGTGTCACGTCTGTAGGCGGCACCCAAAGCTTCTCTCCAGAGGAGGCATGGACTGGCTCCGGGGGCGGTTTCTCGAACTACTACCCTCGTCCGTGCTACCAGGATGCCGTCGTCTCGTCCTACCTCGCCGTGCATGGCGCGAAGAACGCCGGGCGGTTCAACGAGACGGGGCGTGCATTCCCCGACATCGCTGCTAAGGCAGACAACTTCATCATCTTCGCCGGCGGCGTGTTCTTCCAGATTCAAGGCACCAGCGCGGCGAGCCCGACGGTCGCGAGTATCATTTCGCTCGTCAATGACAGGTTGCTGTTGAAGGGCCGTCCGCCCTTGGGGTTCCTGAACCCTTGGCTGTACAAGGAGGGCCATAAGGCGTTTACAGACATCACGACGGGAAATAGTTCGGTACAATGCTCAGAAACAGACCCTGCACGTGGGTTCGATGCGGTTGCTGGTTGGGACCCGGTATGTTCTTCGTGCCTACAATATATCTTTGGGTCCATGCTCATGCACAACAATAGGTTACCGGGTTTGGCACGCCCTGTTTCGCTAAGCTGGTATCCTTTCTCAAGTTGTGAAGTGATAATCATTTTCTCTACTCGTTCTTGAACAAAGGTTTGCGTGTGTTTGTAGTACATTTCATCTGCCGGACGCTATATGAACGAGTACTCTCATGCATTGCATCTTGCTTGCGAGTCACACGGACGCTATACTACATATGCTATTTGGACAGTGCTTTTAGTTCCCTGCTCTAGAGCCAGCCCTGGGCCTTGAAGCCTTCGAGAGTGTCCCGGGTGCTCTCCTCGATACTGCGGTACGTGATGCCCAGGGTGGCAATGCCTTTGCGGTTGTCGTACTGGAGGGGGTGCTTTGCTTGTGAAGGGTCGTAGGACGTGTTGCCTGCTGGTAGCTTTTCGGAGAAGCGATGTGCGGCAGTAGCTGTTTTCGACTAAGGTGAGAACCCGAACAGGTCTTGGGGCTAGGATGTTACTCACCGAAATCCTGCCACTTGTATGGTCCAGCAGTAATGATGAAGCGGTTTCCGCCTGCCTCTGGCTTGAGAAGTGCAAGAACATGTGCTCGCGCGATGTCACGAACGTCTACCCACAACGCCCTGGTGAACCCACGATCAGCCTCCCTGTGTGCGACTGACAACGCAAAGGGCAGAGCGACGTACCCAGTGTTCGCCAGTGCGTTGCTATCCAGTCGGCCGCCCTCGACGATGTTGTAATACCAATCCCGAACTGACTCGTTCAGGTTCTCTGGCTTGTCGACGTCGTGGATGACCGGCCCGTACACGAAAGGCGGGTTGAGCACGGCGAGATCCCAGCTCACGGACCCCGCCTTCTTCTTCTCCTCCCACCACTCCCACGCGGCGCGCTCCGCGAGGGTCTTGCTAGCACGGTACTTGGTCGGCGCGTCCGCATCGCGCCCCTTCTCCTTCACTGTCGCGATCGACGCGTCGTTCCACGAGCTCTCGTCGAGCACTGGCGGGTCTCCCTCTTTGAGCGGGCGGACGACCGCGGCGGTGGAGGAGAGGACGACCACGCGCTTCACGGCGGGGCCGTGGGCGTGTGCGGCATTGAGCACGGAGAGCGTGCCTGCGACGGCAGGCCCGATGATCTCGTCCGGCTCGATGGTCTTCATGTGGAAGGGCGACGCGGTGTGCGCGATCGCGTCGACGTCCTGGACGTGCGACCCGAATGCCTCTGCCTGTTGGGACCAACGCGTCATGGGTCAGTGAGTGCGCGACACGAACGCCAGGACGTGCGTTGCGCACCTTGGTCATGTCGGGGACGATAACGGCCTCGAACTTGTCCCCGTACGACTTGAAGAGGTTGCGGATGTGGGTCGCCTTGCTTTCTGAGCGCACGGTCCCGCGCACGGAGTATCCGGCCTCGAGGAGGAGCTTGACGATCCAGACGGCGATGTAGCCGTTCGCGCCAGTGACGAGGACCTTGCCTGAGGTGATTGCAGTCATGTTGAGTAGGGCCTTTGCTTTCCGTATCCGATGTGAGAGAGTCGTTGTGGTATGCTACACTTCCTCCGTCTTATATATAAGCCTGCGCACTTTGTGTGCGGTTCCGAAGATAGGACGGGTATGATTCAACCAGCGTCCAACACTGCTGAGTAAGTGTGGTGTTATGTCAGGCGCGGAGTCGAGGTGATAATCGGATCGATTGGCTGCCGAGCCCTGCCTATAGGTGTAGTTAGTGAGTGCGTGCTGATGTCCGATGTAGCATTCGAATCTCACCGCGTCTAGTAGTGGCGTTTGGGGCCTGCTGTAGGCGTTTCGTACAGCAAGAAGTACCTTCATGATGAAGTAAGCCTGGTAAACGAAGACACACCACATTCTCCGATCGGTCGAATGCAAATAGCAGCCTCCGAATGGAACTCAGTGGAACACAAGCAACAGGTATTCCTACTTACCACTCCGCTGAGTCACTTTCTGGTCGAGAAGGCTGAGGAGCATCTGCGGCGATACTGTAGCGGATGAGCTAAAACGTAGCAGGCGCTACCAGGGCTCGAGCCTGGGTTTTGGGAGGACAAATAAGATTCAGAATCCCAAGTAATGACCATGACACTATAGCGCCCTATGTCTAGTGGGTACAGTGTCGCCTTGTCGGCACAAATCACAATCTGCAGATTCTGACTTGTATCTAACTTCGATCGTCTTTCATTAGATAGTAAGATGCACAAGATGTCTTCAATATTGTCAAGCAAGATCAAACCCGTTCCTAACGATGTCTGACTTCCGTCTCCTGTCCATCGCATCCGTACGCACGGCGGCTGACGAGAGCCGGAAGAGGCGATTAATATTGATGTCGACTAGTCTCAACGGTGCGTCATGGTCCTAGCAGTTGCGCCGCATTCACATAACTAGCCGAACTCCGTGGCCGGATACTGATCTATTTAGCCTCCGAGGAGCTTGGCAAAGACAACGTTCAATCCAATCGAAGTCGTGTATGTACTGGTGTAGTCATGTCAGTGTCGGTGTACATGGCCTATTATGCCGCGATGTGACGGATGCTGTCCAAGAGGCCCGGCTGGAGGCACGTTGAGGGGTCGAGACAAACAGGCAGCAAGATGCAAGGCATACGTCGTAAAAGATTTCTTGAGAGAAGATCGGGGTGTACCGTGGACTGGCAGGTGTCTGAACACGAGCTGAATGGTGCTTCATCGATTCGCAGGCTAAGAACAAGCACAAATTGCCGCGGAGATGGTGAGACTCGACAGTACCACTGCTTGTTTCATGGTACGGCTGTGCGATGAAACAGCAAAGAGGAGTGGAACGGAGAGTGGTCGTACGAGTCGAGGCCGGGGCGGCCAATGAAAAACACGGGAGGAGATAAACAAGTCGTGCGAAGTTTGGGGGCTATATTGGGGCGTGCCTAATACGGGCGGGATATTAGTCCATCATGTCCCCACCTCTATTTTTCTGAAAGTGAGGCGACCTCAAGTCGACGCCCGCTAAACCTTCTTGTCCCTTTATATACCGCCCACAGCCAGATAGGCTCGTCGCCCTTTGCCTTCTCTCTCTCTCCTTCTTCCATCTTCTCCCTCCTCCACTGCATATCCTCCCAAGATGTCCTCAAAAGGTGTGCATACATGTCATCTTGCGCGGTCCATAGCGCGCTAATTACGCGTCGCGCCAATCAGCCATCCGTGAATACGACGCAAAGCTCGTCCTCGCGTACTGGCTCGAGCGGGCTCCCGCCGTCGACTCGTCCGCGCAGGTTGCCACCAAGTTTGTCTATCCTTCTCCCAAGGTCGCGCAGATTTCCTGGGATCCCGCTACGGGTGCCATCACGCCCGATACTCAGCTCCCTAGCTGGGTTTTCACTACGAAACTTGTCGGAAAACCCGATCAACTTATCAAACGTCGGGGTAAGGCTGGCCTTCTTGCACTGAACAAGACTTGGGAGGAGGCGAAGGAATGGATTCAGCAGCGGGCGGGAAAGCCTCAGAAGGTGAGCGTGTCTTTGCCTGTCTTCGTCTGGCGCTCCATGTTACGACCGCGATCGATTGGGGGACCGATGCGCGATGGGCATTTTGGCCATGCTTCTTTTCTGCGCCAGTGTTGCCCATCTTCCATGTCTTCTCGCCTCATGTATCACGACGCGTCGGTACTCGCCCAGAACGCGAGGTCGGTTAAGACGCGTTCCTGCGTTCCACGTGACTGTGTTCTACCGCGATTTGTCCACGCGGTCCCTGTATGCGGACGATCCGTGCTAATGGCAATCTATTTCAGGTCGAGTCTGTCACCGGTACACTCAACAATTTCATCGTCGAGCCCTTCTTGCCCCATCCGTCCGATGCCGAATACTACATCTGCATCAACTCCGCACGAGAGGGTGACTACATTCTCTTCACACATGAGGGTGGTGTGGATATTGGCGATGTGGACGCGAAGGCCCTCAAGCTGAGTTTCCCCGTTAATGCACCCTTCCCCACTCGTCAGATCATCGCCGACACTCTTCTCAAACACGTTCCCGCGGCTAAGAAGGAGACCTTGGTCGACTTTATTATACGCCTCTACTCCGTCTACGTAGACCTTCACTTCGCTTATCTTGAGATCAACCCTCTTGTCGTCCTCGATGGCGTTGACGGCGGGGAGCCAACGATCCACTATCTCGACATGGCCGCGAAGCTCGATCAGACCGCTGAGTCCATTTGCGGGCCTAAGTGGGCAATCGCTCGTGACCTCTCTGTGTACGAGTCTGGCTCCCAGGCTACGACTACTAAGGGCAAGACCATCTCCGCTGACCGCGGTCCTCCGATGGTACATTCCACTTGAGTTTTCGTACTAGGATGTCGTCATGACTGAATTATCCCTACCTAGGTCTGGCCTGCTCCGTTCGGTCGTGACTTGACAAAGGAAGAGGCATACATCCAGAAGTTAGATGCTTCCACGGGTGCATCGCTCAAGCTTACTGTGCTCAACGCCTCGGGTCGGATTTGGACCATGGTTGCAGGTGGTGGTGCCTCGGTTGTATACTCTGATGCCATTGCGGCGCACGGGTTCGCTCATGAGCTCGCCAATTACGGCGAGTACTCCGGGGCTCCATCAGAAGGTCAAACTTACGAGTACGCGAAGACCATTCGTAAGTTCCTGCACCTGTTCCATATGCGATACCGTAATTGACCTTTTTACAGTCGATTTGATGACTCGCGGTACTCCTCGTCCTGATGGCAAGATCCTCATCATCGGTGGTGGTATCGCCAACTTCACGAACGTCGCGGCGACCTTCAAGGGTATTATCCGCGCACTCAAGGAGTACAAGGCTCCCCTGATCGCACACCAGGTCAAGATCTACGTTCGTCGTGGTGGTCCGAACTACCAGGAAGGTCTGAAGGCGATGCGTCTCCTGGGAGAGTCCCTTGGAGTCCCAATCAGGGTCTACGGCCCTGACACTCACATTACCGCGATTGTCCCTCTTGCGCTCGGCGTGCGGGGCAAGCAGTCAAACATCCACTCTATCGCCCCTACCCCCATCAGTCCTCCTTCGCCCAAGGCTGCGGCTTCTGGCAAGGACCTCCAGCCTGAGCCTACGGTCGGCACCATTCACCCCGATGGCGAGCGGACTCAACCCCAGGATCAGATCGTCAGCTTCGACAACAAGACGGACATCGGCCACTCGCGCCCTTGGTTCCGTCCCTTTGACGCTCAGACTCGTTCCTTCGTGTACGGTCTCCAACCCCGCGCCATCCAGGGTATGCTCGACTTCGACTACTCGTGCGGTCGTGAGACGCCGAGTGTCGCAGCCATGATCTACCCCTTCGGTGGTCACCACATCCAGAAGTTTTACTGGGGTACTAAGGAGACCCTCCTCCCCGTGTACACCAGCGTCGCAGACGCCGTCAAGAAGCACCCCGAAGTCGACGTCGTTGTCAACTTCGCCAGCTCGCGTAGTGTGTACTCAAGCACGCTCGAAATCTTCGAGTTCTCCCAGATCAAGAGCATCGCGCTCATCGCCGAGGGTGTCCCGGAGAGGCACGCGCGTGAGATCCTCCACCTCGCACAGAAGAAGGGTGTCCTCATCATTGGCCCTGCGACTGTCGGTGGTATCAAGCCTGGCTGCTTCAGAATCGGTAACTCTGGTGGTATGATGGACAACATCATCTCGTCCAAGCTCTACCGTGCGGGGTCCGTCGGCTACGTGTCCAAGTCCGGCGGTATGTCGAACGAGTTGAACAACATCCTCTCCCTGACCACGAACGGTACTTACGAGGGTATCGCCATCGGTGGTGACCGTTACCCCGGCTCGACCTTCATCGACCACCTTCTCCGATACGAGCAGGACCCCAACTGCAAGCTCCTCGTCCTTCTCGGTGAAGTTGGTGGTATTGAGGAATACCGCGTCATCGAAGCAGTTAAGAAGGGCACCATCAAGAAGCCCATCATCGCTTGGGCTATCGGTACCTGCGCGAAGATGTTTACGACCGAGGTTCAGTTCGGCCACGCCGGCTCCATGGCCAACTCGGACTTGGAGACCGCGGACGCGAAGAACGCGGCCATGCGTGCTGCCGGCTTCATTGTGCCCGACACCTTCGAGGACCTCCCCGAGGTGCTCAAGCAGACGTACGAGCACCTTATCTCGACCGGTGCGATCAAGCCTGGGCTCGAGCGTGAACCCCCTGTCATCCCTATGGACTACAAGTGGGCGCAGGAGCTCGGCCTCATCCGTAAGCCCGCGGCGTTCATCTCGACGATCTCGGACGAGCGTGGCCAGGAGCTGTTGTACGCTGGTATGCGTATCTCCGACGTTTTCAAGGAGGACATAGGTGTCGGTGGTGTCGTCAGCTTGCTCTGGTTCAAACGCCGTCTCCCGCCATGGGCGACCAAGTTCATCGAGATGGTCCTCATGCTCACTGCTGATCACGGTCCCGCCGTATCTGGGTACGTGCGGATGTGATCTGCGTGCGACGTGATGACTGATCATCTGTGCAGTGCCATGAACACCATCGTCGCGACCCGTGCGGGCAAGGACCTCATCTCCTCGCTTGCGTCTGGTCTCCTCACGATCGGTTCTCGATTCGGTGGTGCACTTGACGAGGCTGCCTCGATGTTCTCGAACGCGCGCGACACTGGCCTGACGCCCCGCGAGTTCGTCGACACTTGCAGGAAGGCCAACAAGCTCAGTACGTATACTTTGCTCACTTTTTCCTGGCATTGTCATTGTCTAATTCAATAATATCTGTAGTCAGCGGTATCGGCCACAAGATCAAGAGCGTAAACAACCCTGACCTGCGTGTCGAGCTTGTCAAGGAGTACGTGCACAAGCACTTCCCGAGTCACAGCCTGCTCGACTACGCGCTCGCGGTCGAAAAGGTCACCACCTCGAAGAAGGACACGCTCATTCTCAACGTCGATGGCTGCATTGCTGTTTGCTTCGTCGACCTCTTGCGCGACAGTGGCGCTTTCGCCCCCGAGGAGGCGGATGAGTACATCAAGGTATAGTATAACTTAACCCCCCCTGTATATCATACTCACACATGACTCATTAGATCGGTACCCTTAACGGTCTGTTCGTGCTCGGTCGCAGCATCGGATTCATCGGCCACCATCTCGACCAGAAGCGTCTCCGCGCAC